GAGACGGAGAACAGCGCGCTGCAGCTGCAGGTGACGGAGCGCGAGGAGGTGCGCGGCCGCGAGCTCACTGGCCTCAAGGCGCTCTACGAAACCGAGCTGGCCGACGCGCGACGCGCGCTTGACGACACGGCCCGCGAGCGCGCTAAGCTGCAGATCGAGCTGGGCAAGTTCAAGGCAGAGCACGACCAGCTGCTCCTCAAGTAAGTGCTCGCCGGCGGCCGTGTTAGTTGCACGCGTGGAGAGGTGCGAGCTATGTCTCGGGGAGGAAGAGGGGATGCCCGGGTGCCTGTGCTTCTTACAGTGGATCAAGGGGTCTCTGTCTCTGGAAAGAAGGCATCTGGCGTTTCCTAGAGGGGCAGGGATCGTGGAGGGGGTTAGAGTTGTAGGGATTGTGGGGCCACGATGCCCACGTTCATGTCCTGGATGAAGTGCTTGTGGCTGCAGAGGAGCATCCGGCTTCGGACTATGGATCCTGGAATCCGGAATGGTTCCCCGGCATAGAGGGGCGGCCCCGCAGGCCGGAGGTGCGGGGAGCTGGCTCCTGGGCGCGCGCTCGAGTGCGCGCCCTGGTTTCCGGCTGGCGGGAGACAAAGCATCTGGTGGGTTTTCGGTGCTGGGATGTTCTGCCTGGGAGGACAGGCTGCCCGCCTCAAGAATGAATGAGCTCTGCGCGGGCGGAGGGAGGAAGGGGAGGAACCCGCCCGGAGCGTCCGCGTCTCCCGGGGGGTGGGTCCGGCTTTGGCGCGCTTACTTTGGGCCCTGTGACATTTTGCGATCGTTCTGCGCCTGCCTCGGACCTGGAGGGAAGGGCGGGGCCTTAGTTGCTCACTTACTGCCCGCCCGAGGCGAGGTAGGTTTTCCTGCTCGCCAGCTTTCCCGGGAAGAGATGTCCTTCTGCAGGAATAGGCGCGGGCCCTGGGCCGCTTCTGTGCACGGGACTGCAAGCTGGGTTTGTGCACGGCATGGCCACGGTCTTCCGTGCGCTGGTCGCCCACCCTCCGGGCAGCAGCCCTCTCCGCAGCTTTTGCCTTCCAGTAATACAGTCGGTTTCCCTGTGCAGACCGTGCTGATCCCCTCCTGTCCCCGCCCGCACCCGGCTGTAAGTGTGCAGACCTCGGCCAGGGCAGGGGAAGGGTGCTTGTGTGAATGGTGAGTGGGGGAAGTTCTCATCCAGGGCAGGAGGGTCAGCTTGCGTGCTTCGCTGATCTGGTCTTGACTTCCCGATGCGTTGTGACGTAATCGTCTCCAGTAGGTCGCAGGTATTGATGTCACGCTGTAGAATAGAGTAGATTCGAGTCTTGGAATTCATGGTCTCCTGCTGCTGCCAGGTGAAATTTCGGGAGGTGCGTGGCTCTGACCTGCTTACCCCTGCGTGTCTGTGTATCTTTTCGAACGTTCCTGTCTCAGTTCTTACTGATTTTGTGTGTTATTCCTACTCCTCTCCTCTTATGTCACATATTAAAAGGCGGTTCATGCGGGCCAGCCTGTGGGTGGTGGTTAGAGTGGCTGGATCCCACATGGCCACCCGCGGTTCCAGCCCTGGCCCGTGAAGTGTGTGCAGGCCCCAGTCCCGAAAGGAGGGAGAAATGGAGAAGAAAGAATTAGGGGTTGACTCCTCATTTTCCCTCTCCTCCAGTCACTCTTTGGCTCTCCTGCCAGCACAGGCGCCCTCCAGCAAAATCAAAATATAAACAAAACCGGTTCCTGTGAGGAGTATGTGCATGTGGTAAAACCAAAATAGGTACCGATGGACTTGTAGTGAAAAACGGTATCACATTTATTCCTTTCTGGTTTTATTTTGTGTGTTGGGTAACTCAACAATGACACTAAGCTTATATTTCTGTTTCTTGAATTTAACAACCTTTGGGATCACTTCTTGAAATTTAGGGGTCAGTTTGCACTGTTGCCTCCAGCTTCCTCAATTTTTTGTTACTGAATCTCTTCAAATGTTAGATTCCATTTCTTTTAAGATAAATTTCATTTCTTTTAAGACTTGGTGTTAGGCATGCCACCGAGAAGAGAAACGCATCAGGGCCAGCTTTGTGGGGCCCATCCTGTAAGGACTTCTGATGTCAGAGGTTAAAATGTGACGGAGAGAGGAAGTAGCTGCTGAGTACCAGTCGCTGGTGCATGTGTAGAGGATTCAGAGATTTAAACAGGCCGGGTTACTGGCCCCTGTTGCAGTGGGAGGTGTACCCAGCCAGCAGATGAGTACTGTCTTTTGTCTGATTGGGAGCTTTCTGAGGTTGGTGCCTTTACAGTCTTTCCAGGACAGAGCTGTGAAAGGTTTCTGACACAGTGACAAGGCTGCCACCTGGCTGACGGTAGTTGTAAGTGTTACTAGTGCACTGGGTTTCAGTTTCATCAGGATTAAGTGAGAAGAATGTGTACTCTGGACTTTTAGGTGTTCACAGGGGATTAGTCCAGGACCCTCTGGGGATAGATTTTGTGGGTTCCTAAATCCTTCCATATCCTTGGTTCCCACATTTGTTGACGTGGCGGGCTGACTGCTTCCGAAGCTATGAAAGAATGTATTGTGATGTGACTTAGACAGTAACAGTTGTGAGGGGCATAAAAATAAAGGTGGCAGAATGGACAGTGTCGTGAAAGAAGGCCTATCTGAGCTGTGGACAGTCTACTCTCGTGGTTAAGGCGCTGGGCTCCTGTATGTTTTTCTGCTCTTTGAGCCCCTGCCCCAGTGATTTGAAAATCACTCCCGTACCTGTGCATGCGTGCCCCAAATCCTGAGGGGAGAGGGAAGGAGAAGAGATTGTGATGTGGCCATTCCACTTAAGGGGGGTTATTTTTAACTTTCCCTCTCTCTTTCTCTAGCAGGTATAGGCTCCATATGGCAAAAATATTAAAAAAATTCTGGTATATCAAGTAGTCTTTTGGATTATTATATATTTTTCTTAGGTCTGTGCAATTGTACATACATATTCCTATTGTTATAGATTTTCTAACATACTCTTTTCTAACATACCATCTGCTGAACAAAAATAACTCACATTTTAGTTTACTTTTTATTTATTTTTTTAAAGAATTATTTTGTTTAACTTTATTTATTTATTTTAATTTGACCAG